CATGAAGACCTAGGGGTACGAGTTGGATAGCGTGAAGCGTCTGGATAGGGCAGACTAATGAACACCGTCAATCAGCGGATAAATCCACCACCACTGCTACGCGTCCTGGTTCCTAAATTCTGCCTCATGTCCATCCCCAGTTCTGCCCACCAACGCATCACTGGCAGCATTCCGAGGTACAGAACGGCGTAGGGTAATTTACCCTGATGTCGGTACAACTCGGTATATCACGATGATGTGCTCATATTGCGGTACATCACGATGGTGTTTTTCCATTCGGTCATACTACAACATACCGGATGTACAACACATCCTGATGTAAGTACCGCATCAGCCTTCAGTCGTCTCGGCGCACAGGGGCGGGCGCAGCCCTCCCGCATCAACAAACACCGAAATCCTCGCGGGGCTGGCATGGGACGCAGTCGAGCCGGTGCACCGCGCGCTGCTCTTGGAGCTCGAGAAGAGGCAGCGCGACACCGGGATCAGTAGTGAGTACGGCTTCATCAGTACTCCCGCCCTCGCTGGCATATCTACATCCCATCCCGACGCGGCCGCATTTCGTCGAGTATGCCGCGCGGGAGCTGGGCATGGAGCCTGCGCTGTGTGAGAAGCTTGTTGCGCAGGTGCATTTTGTGGGTGATGAGTGAATGGATGCCGTTGTTTTTAGCGTAGTTATACCGTCGAAGGAATTTCTAATGCTAATCGAAAAAAATTATGTTCAGGTCGGTTCTCGAAGGCCCTGGGCTCTAAGTATTCCAAGTCCGTCCTTACCCGAGTCAGCTTCGTGCCTGGGTTTGACCGAGCAAGAAATTTGTGCGGTGGCCCAAAATCCCAGCAGAATACGATACTGGCGGAAAATGCAGAACGTGTTGGACACAGACTTTCGTCCTTCACTCTCATAAATCGCGCTAGGATGGATATATTAATTGTGCAAATGGCTTTTTATAATGAAACTGACCACTCTGGTGTGCGTGCTTTCTTAGGCTTTCTTAGAAGGTATCGAACTTGGAGCGTAAAACTGGACGTGCCCAGGAGATAATTAATGCAAATCTTCCGTCCCTGCCGAATACGTCGGGGAGAACGGCGGAGCAGAACGCGTGGCTTGAAAAATACGACCGTGGGAAGGTGACTCGCTGGTAGCGAAAAGCGACTTGAAAATCCAAAAACATCTCCTATAACAGGCTACACGTGTTATTATAACATGAAGCTGAACTATAATTGGTTTCTCATTTAACTGACCAGTGAAGGACAACAAAACATCAAGATGACCATGATGTCCTTGTTGCTCTACTAGACGGGGATTTATTGGTAGTGGAAACACGGTTATTTCAACAATAATCTGGACCGCAAGTACCGGATTAATAACATCATGTAAAGGCACTCGATATAGAGGAAGCGGCTCTGGATTTAACTAGCTGCATCTGCAATGACAGGGGGAGCTGGGAGGATGAATGTGCCGCCTTCGGGCAGACATGGTCCATGCTACCATCCCGACACCAATTGGATTGAGATTGCGCAACTGTTCTTCCTTCGAGATCTATTTGAAGCATTAATACTATTAGCTGCCAGAAAATTGCGAGAGCGGATGACATACCTCAATTCGTGTCTTCAGATCCTGAACGTCTTTGATACAGCGGTAGAGCGGGAGCGAGCGGCCGCAGAAAAATTGGGCGAGCATTTTCCCACTCGATAGTGAATTTCTGAGGCTCTGTTCGTGGAGCTCCGAGACCTTTATCTGCAGTCTGGAAAGAGTATAATTAAATTTGGACAATGACTGAAAAATTCAGCTCATTTGGACAGCGCGTCTACCATGTCGACATCACAGGGAATGAGTCCAGACTCGACAGCATGGATATGTATCGCGTCTGTTTCGTGCATGAGGGCAACAAGTAGGCGCTATTGTAATGACAAAGTTGAGATACGCAGTTTCATCCCCATTTTGCTGATGGGTGCAGGGCAACAGCGCATCAAATGACAAAAACAGTTGCCTCCTCACACTCTAGGCGAGTGCACGAACTGGAGCGCCTACGGGCGGCTGGACGATATTCAATTTATTAGCAGTGAAAACACAGTTCATTCAAGAATCACTACATAAAATCCTCTCCGCTCAATCCGGGCCGCAAGTACCACAACGTTAAATCGTATACGTATATGATGCGCAACAAGCAGCGGCGGATATTTATTTAAGGATACATTGATTCGCGACGTGGAAGAAAATACAAGCGCGCAAGCAAACACCGAAGAAAGCAACAACACAGCAAATACGACGACGAGACGACTATGGCTATTTGGAACGGATCAGAGAAAGAACTAGCTGCATCTGCAGTGGCATGCGGAGCCGGGAGGGTGAATGTACCGCCGTCGAGCAGACATGGTCCATGCTGCCGCGGTTCCGGAACCCGTAGAATTAAGGGTGCGTAGCTGTTCCTCTTTCGAGATCTGTTTGAACTGTAAATATTTTAAAAAAATGCCAGAGCGGATTGACAAACCTCGATTCGTGTCTTTAGATCTTGAACATCCCTGATACATTCGTAGAGCACGAGTGTGCGGCCCTGGAGAAATTCTGCGAGAATTTTGCGCCCCGATAAAGAATTTCTGAGGCTCTCTTCATAGAGCTCTGAGACCTTTATCTGCAGCCTGCAAAACACAATTAAATTTAGACAATGATTAAAACAACCCAGCTCACTTGAACAGCGCGTCCGTGTCGACATTGCCGGGGACGAGCCCGGACTTGACGGCACGAATATATAGCGTGTCGGTTTCGTGCATGAGGGTAACAAGCACTCGGGTCAAGTGCGTCGGCGAGATGTGATGTATTCCAAGTGCCGTCGCCGCGGTGAGCATCGAAGCGCTGATGATCGTGTTGGCGGTATTGTTTGGGAGAATGGATGAAACAAGTGAGAGTGAGGTTTCGCCCATGCTGGACATCTCTGGTCTGGAGAAGGCATGACGAGTACTTCACCAATTTATAGAGAATGGATTGGCGCCATGTAACAGCTATATCTTGACACGCCACCCTAAGGATAAGCCTACACCTCTAGGAACACACCTTGTTGGCTGCAGAAGCTCTGACTGACGGTTATCATGAGGGCGAATTCTACATTACATTCACCGTGCGAAGCAACACCTAACATACTTCACTATACCACGAAGGAAGTTGATAATCACAGCAGTGGAGGATCTGACCTCCATATGCTTCCGTATAATGAAGTATTTTAGGTCTTGCTTCGCACGGTGAATGTCATGTAGAATTCGCCATCATGATAACCGCGAAGCAAGACCAAAAATACTTCATTATACGGAAGCATATGGAGGTCAGATCCTCCACTGCTGTGATTATCAACTTAAATTCGCCGGTCGCGAAATCCGATAAGTAACGCCGAGCGACACGCCAAGTCCTCTCCTTAAGCTTTAAAGCGCACTCTCAAAATAAACAATAAACGAGGATTCATACATCTTGTGGTCTTCTGAATCAACACCCCCGAGCGATTGGAAAAAATATTAATTAGGACAACTTGAACTACAAACCGGAGTTCGCCTTCCGACATGCCGGAGTTCGCCTTCCACAAGCCGGAGTTCGCTTTCCCCAGACGGAGTTCGCTTTCCCGAATTCCCCCAGTTAAGTCCGAATTCCCGCAGTATTTAATTGGGGGAAGTCGGGAAAGCGAACTCCGGCTTGTAATTGCTGATGACACCGTGCAACAGCTGTTTTTCTTTCCCATCGTCAAATGCACACCAACGAAACCTCCAGCTACATGTCGCTTTTCTCTGTCATGTATCATTTTACAGTACATAATCCGGATTCTACAGTACATAATTTGCGGAGTGGTCCAATTTCAAAGAAGACCCTTCATACCCAATTGCGCGATTCGCGTTCCCACCGTTCTTACACGCATGACATTCATCTCATCAAATAGACTAAACCGTGTCGGCATTAGAGCATATCTGCACAGGCTAAACGCCCATTTGATCCTAAAAATGATGCCTGATTCCAGAAATGTTGGGGCAGCCTAAAGGGGAATGAGTGACACGAAAAAGAACGATGATGGTGCTGCTGTCGGTCATTTTACCCCAATTAAATTTCAGTACCATCCTCATATAGACTCTTCTTCAACTTGAAAATTGCATCTGTAAATTAAGTGTGAGCAAAGTCGAGTAGCGTGAAGTCACTTAGAAGTCACACTGAGATTTCATCAAATTTCTGCAGCGCTAGAATCGCTTTGGCCGGACACGTGATCTGATCGCATCAATCTTTCCTTGCCACTGACTGCCATCTTGCGTTAGCCGTGGATTTTCTTTCATCTTCTCTTTGCTGCTGACTGGATCCCCGAAATGATTATTAGAGGCATGAGCGAGTGCAAACCCAGTACCAACAGCAGTGCGAATCTTGGAATGGCGGACTTTGCTGTCGACGTTTCATTTTTTTTTAAATTATTCTCCCCCGGATTGTAATCCTATTCAGATAAATTGACCCGATAAGCGCCCCCCAATTGCTCTAGCTCAAATCAGGGACGACGTTTGTTTTGCTTGTACCTCGAATCTTTGATGACATTTCCTTTCCCTTTTCAACCCGTTGAAATCACCCGTAGGTATTCGAACGCTGCGAGACATTTTTAGTACTTAAGAAGCTAATACTAGTGAAATATTCACCCTGAAGCGACTGCGCCGCCGCACCAGCCTAGTTCCCCGCGCCGCAGAAGTCTGCGCACCAACTTCCTGCCTATAAATATTTGCCGCCAGTGTCAGTTTCAGCTCATACTCCAAGGTGAGGGATGGTGCTGTCTATATTTCTTTGATTCTTCCCTATTCGGTGCCCACTACCCTGACACTCGAGCCTTACATAATACGCACCACTCCCCCCCACATTCTTGAGTTTTTGTCGTCGTGAGAGTTGACCCTGAGACCGGCCGTGTTCATTTACGCACGCAGACCCGGCTTGCTCGGATCCAAAATATACAAAACGAATTACTCGCACTGAAGCTGAATGTATGGGAGGCAAAGACCCATTAGCGCAGAAGGCAGCGCGCCGACTCAATATGGAGTTCCTGTGGTATTTTATGTGGGAGGCCCCAGTTCGAATCTGGGATGGGTCATTCGGCCATTTGCTTCGCTTTAATTTTTTTTGGGGGGCAACTCGTTTGAAAAGATCAGCGCACATTCGACTCGTTGAAATGAGCAGGACTCAAGGATTTAGCGAGACATTTAGGCAAGAAGCTGCTGAAATTCATGAGAGCACCAGTGGCTAAGTTGGAACGGGCCTCGCTAGAGCTCAATTCTTTTACAATTCCTTCAATTTCCGGCGGATTGTGCTTGACATTAGTCAAATATTGTACACTTTGCAGCAAAACAATGAGCAGATTGCAATAGAACCTGAGTGAACACATGATGCACGGGGGGAATACACATTTATACCACGAGAAAATTTGTAGTGTCCGAGAATCGTCCAGTAAAGCGGAAGACAATGAGATTTTGGCAGGACGAAGGCAAAAAAAAAAAGGTATACCGGTATGGGCAGTTGTCTCGGGTTACCGCGTCGGTTCTGTATACCTCCACTTGACTGCGCGGAGACGACGGCGTCAGAAACAAGTCCAAGATTCAAGTGATTTAATCCGCGGGCTTTTCGACCAAATCGGAGCTCAGGCCCGGATTTCCATTCAAACGGACTTCTATTCGCATTCCTCTATCTAGCCCACAACGTGACAGTGTCCGTCTTCTTTTGTATTTACGTGTACCGCGCTATATATTCTTAACTGGCGAGATCCCTCGGAGACAGGTCACAGGCGTAAAGAGAGGATCATCCTGCCTTTCTCTGCAGTCTGGCGCTCTTGCTTCCTATTGCGCTACAAGGGAGGATTGTAACGGAGATCTCCTGACGGGCGCAACATAGGAGGAGGTCGATCAAGGAAATTTGACACATCTAGGCTATTATATAATATATTAAGACTGCAATTCTGCTTCTTTTCTCGTTGCTCCCTACAATGTCAGGCCGGTCCACAACTCAAAAGCCCTTGCTTCTCCCAGGCATCGCGCCCCACCTCTTCAACTCACGCCATAGCCAGCCAAAGAAAATGCGCACGAAGATCGACGAACACGGCCGCCAGGTCCTCGACGATACCCCTGCAACCGGAACCGAAAGCGAGCAGCAGGCTCCTGCAGACCACAGCCAACTCCCTTCTGAGTCCTCGTCTGAAGGCACTCTGGCGCCTCCCGAGCGTGTGTATACTCTTGTCGGCTTTTGTTTCTTAAACCTACTAAAAAAAGTCAAGCAGCCTTTACCAACGCGGAGCTCCTTCGACAACGGCAAGCGGATGTCTACGAAATACGCCATCTTCGTGAAGAGCTGCACCGCAGCGAGAGGATGATGGAGGTGACCGTGCGGGGGGCCGGAATCGCCGAGAGGGAGCTGGAGAGATGCAGGGAGGAGTTGAAGCAGCACCGAGAAGAGCTGGAGCGGCACCGAGAGGAGCGGGAGCAGCGTAGACTGGACGAAATTGAGTGCTACCGGGCGGAGGTCACTGTGCTGCGAGCTAGACAGAGCGCCAGTATCATTCAGAGCTTGTTCAGGACTCTTATGCAGGTGAGTTTAAATCATATTACGCCCTTCACTGAGCTAAAAATTGGCGCCAGTGGTTTGGTATTTCGCTTGTATAAGTATAGTGCATACACTGTTTTCTCCGCCTGCGCTCATCCTTGAACAATGTGTTGTTCGCGTGACCCTGCCAAAGAGCGACGCGGTCAGCCTCCGACGATGGCGTACACCGACAGCAAGCCCGCGCACATGCGAGACGAAAATCAAGCAGGCGGCGCGCGCACCGGGAGACACCAAGTGCGAGGGGCCAGGGCTATGTCAACAGCTACATAGTGGATTGGAAAGCGCCCAGCAGACGCCCAACAAAAGAAGAACATGCCCGGCGCAGCAGTCACAATGGGTCTTGTAGGCGGCGGCACGGATTGCGTAGCGCATGCCGCGGCGGGTATGAGGCGTGCGGGAGCGGGAGTAAAAGATCGGGCGGCGTTAGGAACACATGAGCGCGCGTATCCGTTGAACGCCTTGCATGGAGAGATGCGGGAGCGACCGCTTCAGTTTAAAACGAAATCGGAAAATGCCTTACCCATAAATGAAAGGCCGAAGGGTATACTCGGTGCGGGGAAGGTGACTCACTAGTGGCGAAAAGTGACTTGAAAATCCAAAAACATCCCCTATAGTAGGCTACACGCACTGTTATAACATGAAGCTGAGCTGTAATTGACCTTCTCATTTTACTGACCAGTGAAGAGGAACAAAACATCAAGATGACCATGATGTCCCGCTCACCAAAACAAATATTGTTGCCTCTACTAGACGAGGGGGTGGATTTATTGGTAGTGGAAACACAGTTATTTCAAAAATAATCTGAACTGCAAGTGCCGCATTAATAATTTCATGTAAAAAGCACTCGATATGGAGGAAGCGGCTGTGTAAATTTTGAATACATTAGGGACTGGAAGAATTTCAAAAGCTGGTACAAAATAGAGGAAAAAAGTGCGACAACAAAGCGACGAGACGAGGATATGAACAGGTCATACAGCTCGACCATTGGAACAGATCAAACTAGTTGCATCGGCAATGGCAAGGGGAACCGGGAGGATGGATGTGCCGCCTTCGGGCAGACATGGTCCATGCTGCCGTCCCGACACCAATTGGATTCAGGTTGCGCAGCTGTTCTTCCTTCGAAATCTAGGTGCATGGTTAAGGCTGTTAGTTTCCAGGCAGATTGCGAGTTTAACGGGTTGACATACCTCGATTCGCGTCTTCAGATCCTGAACGTCCTTGATACAGCGGTAGAGCGGGAGCGAGCGGCCCCGGAAAAAATCTGCGAGCATTTTTCGCGTCGATACGAGTTTCTGAGGCTTTCTTCGTGGAGTTCTGAGATCTTTATCTGTAGCCTGGAAAAACAGAATTAGATGTAAACTGTGATTGGAAAAATCCGGCACACTTGGACAGTGCGTCTGTGTCGCCGTCACAGGTCTCCGGCCTCCATGGCGCCAATAAGGTTGGCTCGTGGACAAGAACCCCGTGCCACTCTTATCTTGACTTATCCTGCCCGACGATCATTCAATCCAGGAAAAACGAGACCAGTTTAGACAATTGCGTGAATTGGAGTGTGAGCGCTTGATGGTTTGCTTCCCGCCCCGGCGGAGAATGAAACGCTATCCAGCGCCACCATAAAAAAACCCCAAAATCCAGGGACGATCTACGAACGGCACAAGAAATCCGGTTCAGGTCGCGTCGGTGAAGAATGCGAGCCTGGGAGCCGACATGAAACACATAGATGGAGATTTGTAGACGGTAACATCCGAGAGCCCTCGGCAGGAACGAGGCTGCACGGCGGACTCAGTTGTTCACGACAACAACCGTGAATAACTTCTTGGCGTGATTCGATGCAGTGCTTGCGATATTTTTCTCGACGGGAGTCGGATAGGTGTGAAGCCTTGCAGAAAGCAAAACAAGCACAAATGGATTTATTGTGGCGTCGGTGCCTTGCGCCGCAGCGGGAGGCTGTAAATCGCCTCTGATGACGTTCGAGAGCTGGGCGCCTAGCAATCCAGAGAGAATGATATCGATACAATGTCCAGATGATGTGAAGTGAAGGCTTAGTAGGGTGGCTTGAGGGACTGTCGAATTCGATCAAAACATTCACGTGTTTTCGGCGCAACTCTCTCCGAATCCGATTCATCTTGAATCTGAATTCGACGCTAAAAGTGAGCTAGGGTCTCGTAATTTTTTGCTTTTTTGCATTGACGTGTGTCCAACTGAATGACAGCCGTCATTCAACTGGATACACGTCAATGCAATGAGATCCCCCTCCTGGGGTTCGGTAAGCGCCAACCACACCCGTCAGCAGTCCCATCAGAGAGAATGTCTCCACTGGATATTAATAGGCTACTGCAGTTCAAACTCAAGGGTGCGCTGCAGATCATTTGGTCTAAATCAGACTGAAATGGAGCTTTCAATTGCCCACTCTATTGTGGCACAAATGATTGTAAGAACGAGCTGGTTGCTCCCAGTTGAACTTAGTGCAAAATCAACTAAAACCCGCCCTTGGATTACTGAGGAGTGTACTCCTATCAAGAACCCAGCACCAAAGGACAAGAGTTCGGAGCTGCAGATTACGGCATTAGCCGAATTTACCGAACACAGAACTCTACCCGCAGTCTCTGGAGACTTTGATCAGCAAAGATTCTACGCGGATTCTCTGTAGACAGTTTACCCCCAGCGGATTCGGTCTTCTGGTTCAATGGAGGAGTAAATGAAACCGCGTCCCTGACACAAGCTTGCAAGGCAGTGCAGGCCCGGTGCCACCCGGAAGCGCTGGGCGAATATTTTTGGGATATTTCGTCATATCCGGCCCGGCCGATTTTTGGCAAAAATCTGACAGCAGATCCAAGTTTAACTCTGACGCGAGCAGAAACAGGGACATCTTTTTGAGATATTTCATCCGGAATCACACTATTCCGGCCCGGTGCGGTACCACAGATCTAAGTTCAACTTGGTTGCGCTCCGGTACTGCTGCGACACTTCATGCACACGCCCACCTCGAGGTTCCCATTCATTTGGCAAAATGTCCTTTGGCTCTCACTCTTACTCGCTAACCACCGCATCAGTACTTTGAACAGCCACGGCACAGAGTTCTGGAAGCGGATATGTAGGATGAATCACCCTATGTTATTTTATTTTTTCGAAAATCGATTTCTCTCTTACTCCGTGGGCCCGTCGGCAGAGATTCTGCCGACGGGGCTCGGCTGACCCTAGCCGACCTTACAACAGGCAGCGCCGTGCTGCAATATTTTGACTCCGGAGGACCTTGAAACCATTACCTGTGGATTGTGTGGCCCAAATATGTACGGGACACGTTTTTGGTGGACTAAGCTCTGTCCGGCGAGATTGGCAGACGTCCACAGATGTCAGCCCAGGGAACGCAGTGCCTGTTGGCCCTGAAAAAACGAACCGTGGGAACATCTGCCTCGGCTACCAGAACAAAACAAAAACAAACCGGTTTGCCTCCTCACACACTCTAATCAAGGGCACGGACCGGAGCGGCCCACTGGATTT